GCAGGTTAACAAAGGGGACAAATTTTGGTCATTTTGCTAACAATTGGGACAGAATCCCCCCTCAACCCCTCTCAAATCAGCTACCGGCCATAGGATATTGACACGATATGCGGCTTTATTAAAACTGTTAAATTCACACAATGTCGTCTTAAAGCTGGACACTGTGAGGCAAAAGGTGTGATTTATTTTCACTAAGCAAAATGAAAAGGATGATGGATTAAAGTTTGGTTCAATTAAATGATAAAAAAAGAAAAAAGAAAATTGAAACCCATGTATTCCTATGTGGTTGTATGATCTTCTGATACTTTAGTACTGACCAAAACAAAAAAGGCCCAATAAAGGCATTTTTCTGAGGCTATTTTGAGGAACACCTCATACGTTTGTCATCAGTTACCATCAGCATCAGTCGGAGGTGGAGGGAGTTGAGCCAATCCCAGCAGTCAACAGGCGAGGAGAGTAACACCCTGGACGGCTCACTCATGCTTCACATGGTGACCATCAGAGGTGTGAGACACACTATTCACACCAAGATTCAAATCAATGGTTAGTTTAGAGTGAATCTCCTTAGACCTAATCCTCCCCTTTTCTGGACTGTGGAGGAAACCCCCACACATGGGAAGAACAAAAAGACTGGGGATTGAACCAGCAATGATTTTATGCTGTAAGGCATGGCTACTAAACACTTATCCACCATATGGCCCAACTTATGTGAAAACCAAAAAACGGATTGTTTGGGAATTTTGGGCGAATGTGGTGATTTTCAGATCCTAGACTGCAATATGTAGATCGACCACCAAGCGGGGCTGTGGCACTGGAAAATGTCACGTTATCTGGGTTAAATTGATAACAAAATCCTTTAGACAACAAACTGACAAAATCTGACGTCCTTGTGGTGAGTTATAACAGATGACATGTTGAAAGAAGTTAGCCTTTAAAAAAATACTGACACTAAATACAAATATTCGACATTATGATCGGTTTGTAAAATAGAAGGCATTATTTTTTTTGCGCACACTGGCCAAATAAATATGATAAATGTGATTTGTCTTTCTTTCCATAATTGACATAATAGTTTTAGTGCAGGGACAGTTTATCTATTACACCACTGAACTCTTTTACATATAATAGGGCAAAACAACAGGTGATTTAACTATGTATACACAACACAAAGATTTGAACACTTGAAATGGGTCGTCATCCACAAGCTACCTGTGAAAGGATAATTCATTGGCACATTTATGACAATATTATTATTATCATTACGTTGACCAAGGTTGTTGATTATGAACCTACTAAGGCTCTGTTCAAACTGCTGGGAGACATTTCTGAGCTGTAGACAAAAATTGGTATTGATTTTTACAAAAGTGTGGCATTGTGGTTCTATTTCTTATTTTTTACAAATGTGGTGCTGATCTTTATATTTCTGTGTCACACTAGTGACACGTTTAAAAAAGGCTGACAGCTCTAATAAAAGGGTGGAAAAGACACAAAAAAGAATACCATGACAGAAAAACAAAACAAAAAAAAAAATCTTTAAAAATTGTCTCCTGTGGTGATTGTGTGTGTAATGAGACATCACACTACAACAACCTGATTGTTGCTGCCAACTGCTAACGACAACGGCACCAAAACTAGCGATTACCTCAGTGGGAAATACAGTGACGGTGCAAAAGAACATTGAGTTAACACGAAAAAAAAAAAAAAAAGTAGAAGAAAACACGAAAGTTTTGTTTGTGACCGAAGAAAACCGAAGAAGAAAATCTTCACATCTTTTAAATCTGATATTTCTCTCTTTTAACTTTGCCTGGTATTTTTCTAAAAACTATTTTTAATCTGTCTATTCCTTCCTCCTCCCTCCGCCCCCTTCCTTTCCAGTGGTAAATATATAGCACAAAAATATAGGTGGTGAATGCCCTCCCTTTCCCCCCGAATATATATGCAATAGATTTACAGATCAGAAGATTCTGCAGTGATAAGAAAAGAAAGGAGATAAGCACTCACTGAGTGCAGAATGACCGTGAACACTGTGTCCACGATAGCAGGGCTGCGACCCCCGTTTGTCTTAATACGTCTTTTCTGTGTTTCCTATCTGTCACAGCTCCGTCTCCTGATCAAACCTGTCCCTGTGTGGAGTGGAGACACCGTGGACGCTGTTGGATTCTGCAGTTTGTTTGTTTTTTTTTTAATCAAGACCCTGTTTTGTCTTAGTAGAACTTTTGAACGATTTTTTTTTCCCCGTCCGACGCCAGAAGACACGTCTGCTTCTGCTTTTATAAGAGTGTCCCATCGTTTCATTTTTTTTTTCCGTGCCCTGGCCGTCTGTCCCCGACTTAAGCCGACTCTGAGTGGCTAGACAGGTAGTGTTTCTGTAATAATGTGCTTTAGTGCCAGAGCGTCTTTTCTTGTTTGTCCAAATCTTTTGTCTCTGTTAGTCCACCACACAAGTCCTCTGTCCTCCTCAGAGTCCATTTATATTCACAGGATCAGGAGCGTCCTTCCTTAAGGCCATATTCTGTCTGATCCTATTCATTACGCCGTGGCTCAACCTCTCTAGGCCAGTTGATTTCAGCTCAGACAGACTCTGATTGGCTGCGTTAGAGGGGTTTTAAGATCCCATCTTATCTCTTGATGACTCCCCCCGTCTGTTTCCACTTCACTTCCTGGAGGTTGTCTCGATTTCTCTTAGCCTTGTGTCTCTAAAATCCAGCAGTTTATCAACCAGTCTCTTCTCATTTGTTGTATTATTACGATGGGTTCCCCCTGAAGACACCTTTTTTTTCTTTTTTAACATTCTCTTCAAACTAATCCCAAATCAGTCAGGATTACAGCGCCGTCTGAGTCTACCCTCATTCTTAGCTTAAGGGTTGGTCTCTTTGTCAAAGCCACTTTAAATTCCTTGAAGATAAAAATTAAAAAAACAAAAAAAAAAAAGAATACTGAAAAAAGATGTCCCATCTGTCATCTCCGGCGTCTGATTCTTTAATGGTCTGCTGGTGACAGTGTGGCTGACTGTCAGTGTTCACCCAGATGGATGGAGATGGAGGGAAACAGATTTTCTTTGTTCACAGTGTCTTTTGTGACATCCTTATATGCTGCAACCCCCAGTCTGCAGCCACATACTTAAGGATCTGTGGAGCCCAGTCGGGAAACAACATGTTTTTGTAGAGCAGTTCTTCTCTGTGATGCTGTGAGCGTTAAAAACGCGCCCATCTTCTCTTCCTCGACTCCAGAGCTGATAGCGAGTCCTAGTCTCCAAACTCTGGAGTCGAATACAAAATTTGACCATTTGGGTCAGGGATTTCCCATTTGCAGGTCATGGCTTTTGTCATTACTACGTGTGACTGGAGCTCAAAGTATAATAATAACAATAATAATAATAATGTGTGTAGAATCAGAAATATGACCCGTCCACCACATGCTGAGTCTGCAGAAGCCCCGTCTTCTGTTCTTTCACACGTCGGGTCAGAGGCAGCACACATTTTGTCTTCTTCTGTTTGTTTTTTTTTGTGGAAACAAAAGGCTTACACAGTGGAGTTGACCACTGCTGTGTTTTGGTTTGAAGTGGACAGTTTTACCCTCTGCTGGGGGCAGATTAAGTGTCTGTGACCAGGTCTGTTTATACAGACCAGGTCTGATGACGATGCTGAGGTTTGAGGAGAAGCTGTGGGATTTTTTTCCCCCCCTTCATCCTCTGCCTCATTCCCAGTTGTGGTCCCATTAATTAACTGAGTCACTAGGTTCAAGTAAGGCCAATCAGTCCTCAGACCATGGTGCAGACAGTGTTCAGATTTGGATCAAATCTGACAACCTTCCCTTCCACGGCCTTGGCGTTGGTGTTGTACATGGGGTTCTCGAAGGCAGCCTGGCCGTTGTTGTTTTCGTGGACCGAGCAGCCTGTGTACTGTGTTTTTGGTGTGGTTCTGTGAAGAGAAACGACAAAAAGTAAATAAAATTCACACACCATCAGGGCGATGGGATTACTTTTAATTGTCTGTTAATACCGACACGAGTGGGTAACAAGTAGAGGACAGTGAATGTAGCCATGGGAATTAGAAGAGTAAAGAAGATTACGGGAGGATTTAAAAAGGACTGTTGTGCTTTTTAGAAAAGCCTGGTGAGATTTCAATCAGGCCACACAAACTAATTCTTTCAGGACAAGTCTTATCTGCATTCGGTAACACAGTCGACGGTTGTTAAACCATATCTCTAAAAACATCCAATTTAACACCTCCTTAAAAAGATGTGTTTTGCAGCAGAGTTTTACAACACACGACGACTTCCTTTATAACCTCACAAAAAAAAACAAACTGAGCTCCTGCAGATGTTAACACAGTCACAAAAAAAAACTGAGCTCCTGCAGATGTTAACACAGTGTTGGGTGACAAAAAAGGAGGGAAGAACTGCCTGTTTACAAAGATTAAGTATTTTTAAGCTGTAGTTGGAAGAATATGTTTTTTGAATAACTGTTTAACAAGCACGGGATTAAACCTAGTCAGCTAAACATAACATTTTCACAGCGTTAGTGTTGGCCATTCAACACGGTTGTTAACTCTGATTTCCTGTTTTGTTACAGTTCACCTCTTATATTAGGTTCACGACAACATACCTTTGTTTGTAGAGATAGAAGCCAAAGCCAGTGAAGATCAGAGCAAAGAAAGGCACCAGGATAGCGATCGCAACAGAACTGCTGTTTGTACCAAGCTGGGGGGGCGTAGAATTCTGACTCTCTGACATATTCAGACCTGTGTTAGTGAATACAATTAGATTCCATTGTCAACACAGTTGAGGGCCAGAGGGTGGATATACAATGATCAACATGTATGAAGACAGCATTGAAGAAAGAACAATATGTTGTAAAATATTGTATGTTCAGACTTTTGTGTTTTCACCTGGAGGTTTCCTGAATTTAGCACTACTGCAGCACCAACATCTGACAGCCTGAAATGCCCTTTTTTCTATTCCAGTTCTCCCTGATGGAGATGTGGTATTTAGATTACTTTTGATGGATCCATTTTTATGATGACATCAAGTCTGAGAGCAGCCTTTGTTCCTTATGAAAGTATCCACTGCAGAACTGATTCACTGAGAACAATGGGGTCTTTGTTGGCAGTTTAAAAAGAGCCTCCCTAGTCGCTGACTTCATTAGTGGAGTTTTTTTTTAGGAACCAAATGTAGTCCTAACTATTGACTGGAGCTGATAGAGCTATTGTTTGCGACAGTTACCCAGTCTCTGCAGTCCAAACTGTCCATAGTCTTTTCCCTGAATGAAGCCCTGGAACACGTAACTGGAGCCATCGGGCTCTGCTGACACCTGGACAGAAAAAGAAGAGGGGGAGGTAGAAGAGGAGACAGTTCTTTACATCCGTTTTACAGAACTTTTCAGCAGTTCTAATATATTCCCAAGGTGCTATACGTTTGTATTCAAACGTACAAATCCATCCATTGTCCAGGAGTCATCTATAATTTTGGCTGGAGAGACGGCTGTGTCTTTCAGCTGGTTTCCCTGGTTTGGATAGTTCACCTGGTACATCCTCAGCAACAGCCTGGCCTCAGAAGCTTTATAGACTCCTACAGACGACAGGAGAAAACACAGGGATATTAATAAAAGAGAGAAAATGACCCACCCAGGAGTACCAACTAATTTCCTGCACGGGCATATCCAATCACTGCACAACAACTTTTTGGCAGCCTTTTTCTTTTTCAAGATTTTGACCCATCAGGGGACAGACGCTCAATTACAGACAATTAATTATTTGCCACAGAGTCATGGAGGCCAAATGTAAAGTTTGTTGATGATGAGCTTCTTGTTCTTTACATCTGTTTTTACAGAAAATACTGAGTGGGTATAGTAAATATATGCTAGTTTTTTTACTCTACAGTCTGAGCTGCAACTGTGTGTAAACACTAGAATCCATTCTACTCCATTTAAGAGGATGGGTCATGGAGTTTTAGCTCTCCCAGCTGTGAAATACACCCACAACTTTTCTCTAAGTCACGGCTATAAATGATGGCCAGAAAAGTGTTTTTGCAGAGCGTGTAAAATACACTCATAATCAGCGCATGAATCCTGGAGTTATGGCCAAAAAATGTGTTTGGCAGAGTCACGTTGACCTCAATCAGTTCATCCTGGAGTCCATATGGAAGTTGGTGCCAGATGTAATGAAAACTCCCCGCAGGCATCACTGATGCATCACAGTCACAGGAACGGGACAGCAGTGATGTGACCGTCACCTTGACTGTTGACCACCAGAATCTAATCTGTTTGGTTAAAGGTAAACTTTCTAACAAAAACTATATAGAGAGAGAGTGAGAGAGTGTGTGTGTGTGAGAGAGAGAGATTCTGCAGACTCCTGCAGTCCTGGTCTGATGTCTCATTATTAAGAAAATGGATGAAACCTGAGAGGCATTTAAATAATTTCATTCATCCACAGTGGGATTCTGCACAAACAGAGTTGCATCACATAACTGTATTCTGTTTTGTGCACTGAAGAAAACTTTAAATTCCAAAGCTTAGTTTTTCTAATAATGAAGGTTTTATGCAGTTATACACATTTACCAGAGGCTAATATCAAGTTTCCTTCATCTATTTACATACAAAGTAGAACTATAAACGACTTAGTGGCCAAATAAGATAACGATGTTCACTTTTCTCCTTTTAGCGCAAATATGTCCAAACCTATTTCAAGAGAAATACCTGGTGGCCAGCCTCTCCTGCTGTTTTATCTAAGGACATATACAGCCAGCTAACAATTGCATTCCATCGTAAGGCATTTATCCTTTTTTGTTTTGCACAATTGATGATTTAATTACTGTGGGAATTAAATTTTGGGCAAAAGTCTACTAGAATATTTCCATGCACTGCAGGCCAGACAACACGAGGACAGCAACAGGAACAACCACAGCCAAAGGTTAGAAATACAGAACTCAAAACTAAATAAGAATTGACTTCAAAGCTAACGTTAGAAAACACCTGCAAGTTAATGAAAAACCCATTTATACAAAAGGGGCACAGCCAAAATTAAATCAAGCTTGGAATTCCTTTCTTGTTAAAAAATACCTTCAATAGAGCATAAAGAAACACAGATACTGTAAATAATGCAGAGAACATCAGCCATAAAGAAAACCATTAGGTCCTAATTGGCTAGGTTGGCTAAAAGAGATAAAAGTGAGCCTTAGATTTTGCCAGAAATAGCTATAATGAGGTCATGTCTGACTTAGCTAAATGTTAACTCACCGACGGCTGCCATAGATGGAGAGAAAACGAAAGAGATACCACAGAAATATCCACATTATCTAAACAAAGCTAATAGTTGGAGTAAACTATCAGTGATACGGATGCTATAAAGCTAAAAGACATCCCAGAAATTCCACAGCAAAGCTAGAAGATGCCTATGAAGTGGTGTCCAGAATCCCTCGACAACCGTTCCTTAGCGTCTGTGCGTCTGATCTTCAAACTTCACTGGATAAAGACAAATGCAACTCAATATTTACAGGTTCCTTGAAGTGCTGTGTTCACTGAATTAAGAAGAAGAAGATGGAGAAGAAGCAGAAGAACATGCAGCTGTGATTCCACTATCCTCCAGTTGTCTGGCTGAGCAGAGCTGGTGAAGGTATTGATCTAAAGCTGCTCCTTTAGGCCTGAAGATGGATGTCAGACGTCTATAAGCTGCCTGAGTACATGTTGTGGTGTTCGTGTTCTCTACCAGAACCTTAATTTTGTAAGGGATTTGTGTTTTAATAAAGTCCTTACCCTCTGCTGGCCAAACTGTGGAACACTTGGAGGTCTACGTAAGGATAAGCGAGGACTTGGTTATTACAGGAAATATGGTTAAAAGGTGAGAAAGCTGAGATTCAGTTGTCAGTCACAACAACACAGTGTAAACAGGTCAATTAAACCATAAACGACTCAGTATGACATCCTTTGTGTCCGTGCTTGTTAAGTGTATTAGCAGTAGGTCAGAGCCTAAAAGTGTGTCCTGTCAAGCCGTGTCACACTGTGGGAGCAGCACATTATGTGCTGAGGCTGTAATTTGCAGTAATGTGTCGTGCCTGATAGGAGCAATTCCATGTTGCCGTTGCTCAGGGTGACGTTGACTCTCCCTGTGGTGGAGTTGAAGCTGGTGATGCTCAGTGTCATGGGCTGCTTCCTCCCACGGTAATTATAAGAACCTTTCCAGACGTAGTTGGGAGCAAACACGTCGTCTGGAACTGCAGCGTGGAGGCGAAGGAGGGGGGAAAAAGAGGATGAGGAGGAGGAGAAGAAGAACATAACAGATAAACACATCATCAACAGTGTTAATACTGTAGAATAGAATAACATAGAAAAGCATAAAATACAAAAGTATTGGAGTAGAATAGGATTGGGCTAAATAAAACAGAACTGAACTGAGTAAAACAGAACAGAAAATAATAGAATGAAATAAGAAATAATAGAAGAAAAGAGGTCAAGAATAGAATATACTTAAATAGAATAGAACAGAATGTTTCTCTCTTACGTTAACAACATCCTAAAATATAATGTTTAGATTTTGTTGATTGACTCATTAAAAATGAGTACGACTCTGGGAGATGGCACTAAAAATGAGTACGACTCTGGGAGATGGCAGGTAAAAATGTTTGTTGGTATTTTTTTTTGAGGTATGAAAAAGGCTCTGACTTGGACAGTGTAGATACAAACACCTTAGTAAATAGAATATGTCTAAGACATAATGAAGAGGAAAATCAGACAACAACAACGACCACAGACTGATGAACACGAAGGTCCATCGTCTCCAGACAAAGTAGACTGTGAGGGAATAACCAACAAAATCAAACATTAAACTTTAACTACAGGGACTGACCGTTAACTTTGGGACTGGGCGTTCCTGTCGCTGGTTTCACAGGTTTTTTCTTTTCTCCAGCTGCAGAAAAAAAATATGTATGAAATTAAGTTGTGTCAGAGTATTAAAGCATTGCTTTAATATCTCTCCCCTGTAGCTCACTGGTCCATTAGCTAATTCCTTGAGGAGGAGGGAGAGTGATCTAAACTAACCAAAATATCAAATTTAACATGGCGTGCTGTTTGCACTGTCAATGAATACGATTTGTGTTAAAAAGAGCATCCAGAAAACAATCAACAGCCTTCCACAGAGAAATCACACACCAGGTCGGAGAATAAAAGGAACAACAAAGTCACTGCCGTCATTATTTCAAGATGCAGCCATTGTTTCCATCAAGTGCAGGAAGGCCATTGAGAGAGAGAGAGAGATTTTGTCCTAGAATTTCAAATTGGATCAGAATGATCCAATTTTGAAGACTACTTCAGAGTAACGGGGTTGCAGCCAGGTAAAATGATGCCAACGATTGAGACTTGAAGTTTTGTTCTGCAGCAAATAAAGGGCCTCACAATGACACCTGGTAAAAATAACAGGTGAAGGATGAAGACAAAAAGTTGAACTATTTCAAGGTTTACACGGTGCCTATGATACATACACTGGCAGTTATGTGGAACATATTACTGAGCCAAACAATGTGGGGCTGGAGAACGACGATATCTATTACCGTTATCAAGGACAAAAGTGCAATTTCATGTTAAAGGCAGTGTGATGGAAGAGTCGGTGAAATGGAAATAGGAAACAAGAACTTCACCGACTGTGGACGAGTTGAAGCATTTTTAACTCAGCATTTCTAAACACATTCGCTTCACAATGGCCTAAACCCCCATACATTTTGTAGCAACATAGTGCAACACTTTCTTAAGCAGTGTAATTATACATTTCTAACATTTTTTCACGATCTTACTTTCAGAATTGTTGTTGATAACTCAAGTACCTGTTATTTTTATCAATATTAAGTATCAATATTTAAAAGAGTTGGACTGATTCCTTGTACCCGTACCAAATTGAGTGACCTCACAAAGGGACAAAAGACAGCTGGACACCAGTTCCTCCACTGCTGCCAGTCCCACCCACAGGCCACAGTTTGACCACCTCTCCAGAAACTACCTCCCCCTCCAAATGGCAGACCCCCTCCGATGTGTTCACTTACAGAGTGTCCTTGAGCAAGACATTTTCAACACATGGACTGGTTCACCTGAGCATAATTCCTCCTGAAGGAACCATTCATCAAAGGCGGATGACGCCGATAAAGACATTAACAAACAGGGAGGACGATCATGTACCTCGACATATAGGCATCTTTCCGGTCCAAGTGCCGTCGTTCTTGCAGACTCTGTGTTCAGAACCTCCTGCCAGGAAGTAGCCGTGCTGACAACTGTACACCAAGGTGTAGCCAAAACCAGGCAGATCCATGCCCACCACGTCCACATGGAGGGGGCTCTCCGGCTGCTTGCAGGCGTGTGCTAAAAGGTGGAGAAGGGTTTGAGTTTGAGACCGATGGACAGACAGATGGACGAAAACAAAACAGAAGGTGAAAAGGAATGAGTGAACAAGGTGAGAGGACATGTGTTTCTTACGTATACACTCTGGTTGTGTTCCACTCCAGGTCAGATCAGACTGGCAGGTTCGAGAGGAGGATCCCTGAATCAAATGACCAGGCTGGCACTGAAAGGACACCACACTCCCCACCTGGGAGGGAGATACAAGAACAGAGACGGTTTCTAACTCCCTCAGAGGACACAGGGCTGGAATATTCAGTTGTTTTTTTTATAGGTTAGACATTGTAATAAACCATGATGTTTGAAGAGTTACTGTACTGTATATCACAGAGGCCATATGTCTCTGTATTAAGATGGAAGAACAACATCAGTCATCGCTGATGCCACCGCTTCAGTGTTTCGACCATGAAATCAAAACTTTCCAACCACCCCACAATAAAGTTATCAATCAGTCCAACCTGAGGACATATTTGGACTTATTTTTGTCTGCTAAATTTAAAGCATTTCTGATCTAATATTTAGTTTAAGTTTAATGTTTTGTTTTTTTTTCTTATTCATATATTTAGGTAATTATCACCAACTTTTACAGTTTAAGTTTATTGTATTGTTTTTATTTCTTCTTAATATTTAGGTAATTATCACCAACTTTTAGCAGGTGTTGGTTTGACTGTATCAATTTGCTAGTCAGTCTGTTGTTAAACAGATCTTTCCTCTTTCTGTTCTGTTCCTGTCAGGGAACAACATTCATCTTTCTCTTTACTTTATCAGCTCTAATACTTTACCTTGAAACCATAGGTCCTGTTCAAGGAGCCGTAGCGTGGCGTCCCAGGGTTATCACAGCTGGTTTTGGTCGGTTCTGGGAAAGAAGAGAGAGAAAGAGAGAGAGAGAGAGAGAGAAAAGACACTATTGGTAATTAAACAACACAATCTAAGTGAAAGATAAATTAGCAGAAGGTTGGTTGGTCCTCTTCAAGATCTCCTTCCCTCTCCACTCGTTGCCTCGCCTCTCAATCTGAGTGAAAGATAAATTAGCAGAAGGTTGGTTGGTCCTCTTCAAGATCTCCTTCCCTCTCCACTCGTTGCCTCGCCTCTCCTCTGTTGTCATGGTAACTGAGGGTGATGCAGTGCAGCAATCCAGCAGGTGGCAGTAGTGTTTCACCCAAAAACGAAGCAGGACCTGAAATAACTGCGTGAGTGTTTTATATGTGGGTGAGTGTGTGAGTGTGTGATGGGGTCATCAGCATGTGGAGCACATCCTGACGCAGAACTCCTTTCAATACAGCTACTGAAATGACAGATTCATTCTTCACCTCCTTCAAAATCCACACAGACTCACTCACCACCTCTTCTTCTGCCTCTTAGACTGCCCTCCTCTCTTTTACACCCTTTTACCAACTACATTCTTCTCCTTTCAGAGTCGTGGTATCTCCTCCTCCCTCTTCACTCTTCTTTTTTAAAGACCCAGCTGATTCAGCTCTAAAACTCATACTCTTTTATAAGCCATGCTAACAACCAGCAGTGATAACACAACAATAAATCACCAAACACACATAAAACCATGCACTGTCCCCAGTGGTCATTTGTTTAATTTTTGCAAAGAGTTAGTTTACGATCTCCTTTTCAAAGAATAAACAGAAATTACTGTGATGTGATGAAAATATCTGGCAGGATGGTCTAGTCTGATCAGCACTTATTACCTCGTGAAAAAAGGAGGAACAAATGAGGGCGGGAGTCAATCATATGTTATGACTGTTGGCTAGAAGGAGGTACATGTTAAAGATTTGTTCAATGGTTGAATAACCAGACTGTTGGATTTGTATAATATATCTATATTATGTTTAGTGTAAATTTCAAATTTAAATTTACAGTTGAGACAAAATCTAAATTTGCTGACAACATGACACTGACTGTTGCACAAAGCCAATATTTTCATCTCCTCTGTTTCAGTGACATTAGGACCAGGTCAGTTCATTAACGAAGGGACGCTATGGTGAGTTTCTTCTGTTTCGAACAAGAATCTCACAAAAATAATTTGCCTTTATCAGAACTGCCAATAGTCTGTTAAAAAAACACATTTATTACACTCCAGACCACCAGACCTGGTGTTTAAGCACCTACTCTGAGTCAGGCGTGTGAAGTGCTCCTCCAAACATCTCATACTTTGCTGAAGTGACCCAGCAGTACCATTTAAAAAGTAAAGAGTGCTGCATATCCCATCTCATTCTCTTTAAATCCCACTGGCAGCAGCTGCCTGTTTGAAGTTGGATGTACTTCTCCATCCTGGATGGTGTTTTACTAAATACTTTAAGTCCAGGTGGCTATGAGCACATTCCTCTCCTGAAAAGGCTTTCCTACATTAGACCCCTGGTAGATAGGCTTGGTGTGATCTCAGTGCTGTCTATATGCATAGTTTTTACCCTTTATATATTTATATTTATATATACAGTATGTGTTCTTATGTGAGGTTTTGAATCAAAGATGTTAAGAAAACTGGGCCAAAGGTTACACTTTTCATGAAAGGAGCACCAGCCTCCATCTGGAAGAACATGTTTCTGACATGTCTTTTCTGGTATAGCCTGGTTAACAAATAACCACGTAGGTTGGGGTCGACATGGGCTGTACTTGTTGATGGAATATAGGTCAGACTAAGAACAACCCGCCTGTAGCAGCTCAAACGTTATAGCTTTTTCACCATTCTTGAAACAAAACAAAAAAAAATCCTTCTAACCTCTGCAGGTAACACATGTCACTGTCTAACAGACAGTTTTTTTACCTCTCCGTGCAGCTCTCACTAACTCCAAGGAAAAGTGTAATCTTGGTACTTTGACGCCTGGGGAAATAACTAGACCCAGTTCTTGAATTACTTCTCTCCCAGGGTTTCCACACACAATCATTTGCCATAGGTAAAGAGGGGGGAAAACCCTCTATATACATATATATATATATATATATATATATATAGGAAGTGAAGAATATGTGAGCCACCGTGTGCTGAGCCTCCGCATAGCAATAGCAGTTATTAGGACAAGGATGATTTTTGGCAGTAAGAAAAACAACTACAGTAACTGAAGGCTGATAAACCAGAGTTTGTAACAGCTTTCATGTAAAATGAGCAACATGTTGAAACTCAAGGCAGATGGACCACAACAGCAGAAGATCCATGTTTGGTGCTGATCCTGTCAGCCAAGACTCCAAGGCTCCGGTGGGCGGATAAGACACGAGATATTCAAACACGAGAGAGAAATATACTGTCACATGTCTGATGTGCAGCAGATAGGATTATCTGAATTTGGCGTAAACAAAAAATAAAAAATAAAAAAAAATCAATGAACCATGGTACCCGGTGTCAACAGTCCAACGCTGGAATGGTGGGTGGAGAATGTTTTCATCTTTGGATGATTTGACCCACTCAGTCATTCTTCTATTGTTAGAGCCAAGTACCAAGTATGATTGCCAACCATCAACTGTACATTCTTCCACGACTACAGTTTATCTCAAACAAGTAACTTTTTATTGAATTACTTAGACAGATGATAGTAGAAATGGTTTTGGTACCGATTATGTTTGAGCTACCACTTGCATTCCCCTATATTACTTTATCAAAACACCACTTCACCAAGGAACTCAGGGCGGCTGCTTTAAGGGAACACTGAACTAGAAACTGGTTGTATAAATGTTATAAAAGACCAGGTGGTAACATCCAGTAAGGACCCAGGCTATAATTCCTCAGTTCATTACAAGAGGCTGGAACTGAAGACATACAGTACCATCTTGGAGCACCATTTACATTTAACACCTGAATAATTAATTGAGGTGCTGATTTTTTTTCCCCTTACAAAGCAGAGCTGCTAATTGAGAAATGACGCATTCATTACCATCAGAGGAATCATTTAAGGATTGTCCTCCTCCACCTGTCTTACAATAATATGTAATAAAACTAATTAAGTCATCGTTCAGTCAGCATCTATTGTTATATCATCCCAATAATGCCTTGTTACTTTAAGCCCTCGACTGTCGAGAGCGTAATTAAGGGTCGTTACTGGAGGGATCATTAGCTCAAATACTGGTCCAGCCTCCCTGGAGAGGTAACATGGACTGCATAAATTTAACAACATTCAAAACAACTCTCAGCCTTTGATGTGCAATTTAAAAGGAAGACACTAACCGTACCTCCGGAGGAATCTGAAATCAAAGTTAGCGCACATCAACGCCTTCACATTTAAAGCCAGACTTTGAAGTAGACAAATCACACCTGCCTCGAGGACTCCAGGCTTTTCTGCAGCTCAGGTGTAGATGAATGATTGATAATCATGTCACATAATGTTAGATAATGTAATAACTAAAATGTTTGATCAATCTCTGGTGAGGGTTAAAAACCTTGGTTTTAGATTTAGATAGAAAGTTGCCTCGACACCATTGCCCTCTGGAGGTTGAAAAACATTCAGATTGTCTTTCTTTACCTGTCAAAAATCATTACAGACACCAGAGCCAATCCTAGCATAAAGGTGAAAATGACCATCTTTACAGGCAGATAACCAATTTGACTGAAACAACTCAATTTCATTGGGTTATGTTGCTGAGCTAATGTAAAATGTGTTTTCCTTTTACTATAAAAAGTAATAAATACAGATTACCATTCATCTACATTCCCATTTTTCTATACTGCAAATAATACAGTATATATACATATATATATTGTTTTCAGTGGGGTTATTTTCATTCTTCTTCTGCAGCACCTATTCCTCTACTTATTCACACAACTGACACATTTTTACATTATTGCTGTTTCATATTTGTTTTGTACTCGTCAGTCATTTGGTGTCTCTGACCTTTAGTTCCTGCAGCAAGTCAATTTTCCAAGTGCAAAATCAATAAAGTCAAATGTAATCTCTGTCTAAAATTGGAAAGATCGTCAGTAAAACCCATTCTCACTTTAGATCAAAAGTTTAGATTTTCTTTTTCGTGAATTAATGATAAGACTGCACCAAGTTGAGTCATGTTAGCCACAGGCAAAAACAAGCTTAAAACAACCCACAACCCTTTAATGAAAAAAAAAAAAACCCAAACAAACTGGAATGTCTCTCTAATGGCAAATGTGATCAAATAAATAATTAAATGTTATAATTACCAATACAGCGGGGCTGTAACCCACTCCAGGTGCCATCACTTTCACATCGTCTGACTGCTGTGCCGACCAAAATAAGGGGCGGGGCGCAGCTGAAGGACACCTCTGATTGGTAGATGAAACTCCGTCCTTCCCGGAAACCACCCACGGGAGTGCCTGGGTCACCACAGAACTTGGCTGCACACACCAACACACAAAAACCAAATATTTTAATTCAATACAAAGGTAATATTTATAATTGATTTAAACTCCAGTGTTTATATATATACTTATATATAGAGAGAGAGTATGAACGTACGTAAGCACTGTGGCAACATTCCGTTCCAGGTGCCGTTTGCCACACATGTCAGGACGGCTGGAAATGAGAGCTCATAACCAGGAGAGCAGCTGTAGCTCACACCACTGCCCCATTCAAAGTCACTGCCCTGCAGTACGCCGTTACTGATGGCAGGGGGGGCTGCACAGGTCACCGCTAAAATGAGAGAGACTTTGATTATAAAGTTTTGAGGGAAATTTAATCATCAGTGGGAAAAACTTTAATTGAACATCCCACTATTTTTAGTTCACCTTTAGTTCACAGCTATTACATGTAGGTATTTATGACCACATATTAAGTATTTTTACTTTATTCAATTAACTTGAAGCTATATTTTTAGCTATTAATTCACTAATCTTTGCCATTCTGTATCCAACTATTTCTGATTATACCATTTTTTGGACTTCTTCTGAAATCTGGCTTTTGTGAAACACTTTGTATCAACATTGGGTGCCAGAAATCATCTGCAATACCCCGTGGCCTAATTCCGTGGCATTGTGGAAAAATGTGAGTAATAACATAAGATTGCCTATTTACCTGCCAACATGTATTTAGGGGGATAAATAAAAGTAAAATTGCTTTTTGGAGTTCAAACCGAATCTCGTGTAATTCTTATAAACGCCTACTCTACCTGTGCACAGTGGCATATTTCCATTCCACGTCCCATTATGGGTGCACATCCTCACAGTTGATCCGTCTTCCTCCATTCTGTACCCTGGTTGGCACTGGAAGGTGATATTCTGGCCTATAGTGAACTCTTCTCCATAGCGGAGACCGTTAGCAGGAACTCCTGGATCTCCACAGTTTATCACTGAAGTGAAATGAAGAGGAAAAAGAAGAAGAAAATCATAGAACGTTTAGCTTTCATTAAAGGTTTAAATGCATATATTCTTTTATCTAACTGTGTTGTCTCTAATAAAGGGTTTTGTAAATAAAGCTGAGTTGAGGTGAGTATTTATGAAGAGCCATGTGATAAGAACACAAAGACAACGCAGAGAAGGTCAGAAGGTCAATGTAGGAAAAAAAATATATGGAGAAGCACAGGTGATTAAAGGCTCAATGCTGCTGACATAAATAAGCAGGTGAAAAATAAACATCACATTTGTGTGGTAAAGAAAATGGTTGATCGAGCTCGAGCGGTCGACCTAAAATGAACTGTAGTATCTTAGTAAGTCTATCTTGTAAATGGTTGAACAAAGAATCTAATTTGTAGATATAATATATCTGTGTCAATCCTTAGGTGATAGGTGATTAGGTGAGGTCACCTCTGTGTCTTTTCCTGGTCTAAATTAGGCTGTCTGCGCAGCTCGAGGCAAAATGACATTAAAAAACCCAATATTTCAACTAAACCTCACCCTGAGCCTGAAGCCCAGACAGGCTTCTCTAGGACACACATACTACAGTCACTGATGCAAAGGATGCTGGGATAAAATGAAAAATGTAATACATGTATTTTAAAAATACATTTTTTAAAAACACCAATCAAAGTTCTCTCACAGTTTATGTAAAAAAAATAGCTTTTTGACTCTGAATATTTGTCACTTGAACAAAAAGGACTCTACATTAAGCGACGTGAACTTTTCTAAGCTGAATGAAATCTGCACTCATTATTTCTATTTCACATTTGTTTTATACTCGTCACTCTGTCTCTGACCTTTTGTTCCTGCAGCAAGTCAATTTTCCCAGTGCAAGATCAATAAAGTTAAATGTAATCTGTCTAAAAAAAAATCTGAAATCACATTGGAAAGATCGTTTCACCTTAAAATGTATTTTAAAAATATTTTCTTTTGAAACACCAATCAAAGTCTCTTACAATTTATGTAAAAATAGCTTTTTGATCCAGAATTCTCCCTGAATATTTGTTACTTGAACAAAAAGGACTCGTACTTTAAGCTAAGTTGAATGAAATCTGCACTAATGGACATACAGTAGATGAACACAGACAGTCAAACAGCTGACGTTGTCCTGGACATTTCTGAAGGAGGTTAAGGATTCCCCTGACTCTCGTCATAAAAATTGACCTTCATCATCTAATAGGCAGTTTAAATGCTTTTAAAGCCTCCCAGATTTTTTTTTCTTGCCCGTTAATAACTGTGGTGTAATCTACTGTAAAAACCATTTCCTTTAAGTCAGGGTTTTTCTCCAGGACAATATATTAAAGTGGATAAAAAAAACTTTATCAGCATTTTTTTCCACTTTGTCCACTAACTGGTGCCTTAATAAAAAAAAAAACACTTACCTCAGTATATGGCACATTAAATTTAGAAATGAAACATTTAAAATAAGGATTTTCCACATATGCTGTCCCGTTCCAAAGTCCAGAAACACATAAGTCTAGACAATAATAGAGGATTAGTCCCTGAGTCATACTATCTGGTGGAAATGTAATTCCAAACCATTTCTGAAGCAGCATAATTGTCCTATTTGCTGTACACTGATTCACAGGTCCGTTTTGATTTTTGATAAAATGAGAGACTCACTGGTACAGTTGGGTTGTACGCCAGACCATGTCCCATTAGCCTGACACAGCCTGGTGGTGGCACCAGTGAGCAAGTAGCCGTCCATGCAGGAGTAGATGACGGAATGGGAGAACGTTGTTCCGTCCAAACGGAACACTCTGCCATTACTGGGAGTTCCAGGGTTTCCACACTGGACAGCTGTAGAGGAGACAGAGAGTCTTATGCATTTCAATGAGTTTCAGGCCTCCAGTGGAGACTGCAGTGGCTGATCTAAAACTAGGTCACTGTCAAAATTCTAGGATTAGGAAAGGTTCGTGTTGAAGTATCGCCCTACGTCTGCAGGAGGGCTGCATGCCAGACCAGGTTCCATTAGGGAAGCACATCCTCTCTGAGGAACCGATGAGCTCATAGCCTTCGGAGCAGGTGAAGTAAACCTTGGAACGGATCCTGAAATCAGTTTGTTCCCTTGAACCATGGGAGGGAATGCCAGGATCTCCACAGGAACCTGCAGTGTCACCTGAGAAGACAGAGTTGAGCTTGAAACTAGACGTGTGTTTGACATCAAAATAACTCAACGTTAAGACATGTCTCTGTGGTGCATCTATCAGTTTTGACTAATTCTACCATTACATCTTTGTAAAACGAGCTGTTACATTTTATTACACTGGGTTTCACAACCATCAAAAGAGAAAAAGGTTGTAATAAACACAAATAAAAAAACAACTCGAAAGTGGTAGATAAACCTACGATTAAATGTCAATTTAGCAATAATGACATTATTCGTCTATAATATAATTCTTATAACATTGGATTAGTTCGTATCACTGTACTTTCAAAATATATACTTATATATAATTTATACTTTCACAGAAACTTTGTGAAGTTAAAGTGTTCATTAAAATGCTCTGCAGGTCATAACGTCTACAACTTTACAACACACGTATATTCTCTATTCTTCCATTATAATTTGTTTTTTTAATATGTTCACAATACCACTACCTTATCGTGGAAAGCAAATACCTAGAGGCTTCTTTTGATCAATACAGCTCAGATACTACCAGAGACACAACACACAATGACAAAACGTCTTTTAGTAAAGCCTCGGGGTTTTCAGGCAGGATTTCTCAGATGCAAATAAATAAGAAAATAAAAACTTTACACATGCTGTCATTGTTACGTGTCTCGAAAAGCTGTGAAAAGTGATGGAAGACAAATGATTTTTCTGTTAAAATGTGACAACAGGATAGGATAGAGTGAGGGTTCACACAAACACACTCACACGGTTCATATATAAATATATAAGTCACTCTGTAGCCTCAGGTAGCTCAGAGCTCAACAGGGTACACAAGCAATCAACTGGATGTCACCTGTGAAGCCCTGTGTGTGTGTGTGTGTGTGTGTGTGAGTGAGTGTGTGTGTCTGTCAGATTCCGTAGGACAAATTATTGTGAAAACAAATCTTCAGTTTCCCTCAGGTGACTTTTGAACAACCACTAATCGGTCTTTCATTGTCTGACACAGAGAGGAACAAACACACACACAAAGGTACACAGACACACACACAGGGATGTACACAGGGGTTTTTGTTGTTGTTAGTTTTCTGACTCCCTAGTTCTTTTCCCTTTCTGTAACTAGTCAAAATGTATGTCTGATCTCAACAGGAAAAAGACTTTATCACATTCATCCTTTGAGATCAGATTATAGTTCTATTTGGAGAAAACATATATATATTTGATTATGTACTTGAAAGGTTCACAGTGTCCTATTTATCAGCATCATGGACTGCAGTGACCAGAAAAGCAATTTTTTGCACCTACATTAACATAATTCATGGAGACACTTTAGGTCAAGGCACAGTAACCACCACACTTTACTATAACATTATCCATCCATTATATTCTACTAAAGCCTGAAATATGTGAATATAGTAGAAACAACATTTGCTTATCAACAGTAATGGCGCAGAAGTACAGATTTATCAGCAGG